AAACGAATGGCGTAACAAGATTCAGGCTATGGGGAGAAAACGCAGCAGAGGCAAAGCTGAAGAAAGCGTCGACCTTGCCAACCTTTGCAGTCATCGTTTCTAATTCTGAGCTGGTATGATAGACTCCTGCTTGAAAAACCCCTTCTAACAAAAATGTGTGCCTTACAAGTAGCACGGTTCTTCACTGTTACACGTTAATCTCCTCTGTGACCTAGGTCCCAAATGATTTGACTTTATACCCATGCCCTTCAAGTTCAGTTTCCTACTGTGCTTTTTCTCTCTCTCACCTGTATATACTATATATACTTCCATGTTTCCAGTCTTTATAACCATTATTTTTAATGGCTCAATAAGTTTAGACTTAATTTATGAGGCTAGAGCAGAACTTGGTATCGTTGTGCACTTCAGTGTTTTACGTAATCAGCATGCCAGGCACTGGCCTGAACCCCACAGAATCCATAAAAAATAACATTGAAATGCTAATGTCCTATTTGCAGTGGACTTATACCCTCTGATGCAATGATTTGGGAGAGTAAATATAGCCATGCTCTCCCCGCAGACCTAACCTCTACGCTGCATTTCCCTGTGCAGTTACTGGCTGCCACAAGGGCTCTTACACCCAGGAGACTCTCTGTCGCTAGGAAGGGGAGACGAAGTGCCACATGGTGGCAGATTTATGGAGCAATACTGGCATCTTCCAAGGCAGAAGACTGGCAGCCAGTCCCCCTAGGACATTGAGACAAGTGATCAAAGTGTACCAAAATAGGGGAGGCCTAAAGAAAAAGCGGGGAGGGTGATGAGGGAAAAGGTGAAGAAAAGTAAAGATGGTACCTCACCCATAAAACCTGTTACTCTAATGGGAAGGATTAATCAACACTGTGCAAACATAATACAATGTCTCCCCCATTTTCATTGTTAACCAGGGAGAATAAAGAGCCAATGCATCAGAAAGTTCACTTTCCTTAGGCAGGAAAGCCTGGGTTTCGTTCTGGCTCCTTCATTGAATAAACTGCGTGTGCTCATTTAGTCATTTGGGTCGCTTACCTGGGCATTAACCTGGGCTTCCAGTTTCCTCAACTATGAAATGAACGTATTAAACTAAAAAATCTTTTATCTCTGGATCCTACATGTAAGGTGCTGATATTGTTAGCCTGGAGAGTGTTGACCAAAAAAGCTATATTTAAGAAAAGGAAATGCTTTACAAAATCTTGACTTCCTGCCAAACTAAGATTCCTTCTAGAAATGTAACTAAATAGACACACTTTATCAAGAATTAATTAATGTGCTCTGCACTGAGTGACGGCCTGCGAACCAAAGGGCCAGTTTGATTCCCAGTCAGGGCACATGCCTGGGTTGTGGGCCAGGTCCCCAGTAGGGGGTGCATGGGAGGCAACCACACATTGATGTTTCTCTCCCTGTATTTTTCCCTCCCTCCCCATCTCTCTAAAAATAAATAAATAAACTCTTTAAAAAAAAGAACTATTTAATGTGACCAAAATAAAGGCCATACCACACCTCTAGGCAATAGAAAATTGAAATAGATTCTACGACTTTTATCAGAGGAAAAGAATGTTTCTTCCAAAAGAATTATAAAACCTAGGGAATAAGAGTATCATTATCTGTTTAACCTTCACACAAAAGTAGAGGATAATTTCTACCTAATTATATATAAGTAAAAAAGAAAGGGGGGGGGGGCCTGACTGCATCGCTCAATTGATTAGAGCATCTTACCCATATGCCAAGGTTGTGGGTTTGATCCCAAGTCAGGACACTTATAAAGAACCAACCAATGAATGCATAAATAAGTAGAACCACAAATCAATGTTTTTCACTCTCTCTCTCTCCTTTCTTCTCTCTAAAAACAAAACCAAAAACATCAATTAAATAAAGGGAAAAAAAGAGCCCTGGCTAGAGCTCTGTTGGTTGGAGTGTATGTTTTACCAGTGCACCAGGGTTTCTGGTTCTATCCTCAGTTGTTCAGGGCACATACAAGAATCAACCAATGAATTGATAGTGTGTGGAGCAATGACCCGATGTTTCCCTCTCTCTCTCTCTTAAAAAACAAAACCAAACAAACAAAAAAACCAGTAAGTAAAATATAAAAGAAAAGTAAAACCAACCCTCAAGTAAGGAAAGACATTCCTAGTTTCTTGGTAGTAGCTTAACCCTCGGCTGTCACCAATTTTAACTGCATCAGTGGGCATCTGTTTTCCATTTACTCTGCCCCTATTGAATGTGCAAACTTGGATTACTCATTAGTGTTCCAGGGTAAGGAGAAATGCCGAGTAAAAGATGACGAAATATGAAGAATGAATACCATACTACTATAAAAAAAATCGCTGACACTAAATACTTTCTGCACCTTCCTGGCAAGCATCCCGGTGGCATGATATTTCTCCCAGTGTAAGGTGACCATTTATCGGGTGACAGTGAAATCTTAATCTGTTTTCTTTCCCTTAGTACTGGTATTCTCCCTTTGTGGGGAGCTGAATCAAAGGGCTAGTCCTCTATCTTGAGGGTTGTTATGAGAGAAACTCAATTTAAAAATTAGCTCTGGCCCGGTGATCAGTCAGTTAGAACGTTGCCCAGATACATCAAAGTTGCAGGTTTGTTCTCTGGTCAGAACACATACAAAAAGCAACCGATGAATGCATAAATAAATGGAACAATAAATCATTGTTTCTCTCCCCCGCTTCACCTCTCCAAAATCAATACATATCTTTCAAAAAGAATTAACTCTTTTCAAAGAGAGAGTTGCTACTATCTCAATGTTTTTGTAAAAAAGAAATCCTCCAAAATTCGTCTTACACCTTTTCTTCTATGACTATTACACCCCTATTCATGTTTCTATAAATTGCATTTTCTTTAATATTAATACTTTTTCACTTATTTCAGGTAGACAAATGCTTAATCCACTTTTGCTAATCATTTAATATTTTATTTTTTAAAAAAGTGCCAATTATACAAAAAGCTTTATAGATGTTCATATGCTGATTTCTGAGAATCTATCTTAAAATAATCCTAAATTTTCAGAGTTTTATGTGTTAAAATGTGTTTGGTTTTTGGGTTGGTTGGTTTTTGGTAATATAGCTAAAAGAAACAATCTAAGCATTCAAGAGAAAATAATTAACTATTTCTATTTGACAGATTTTGTGGCTATTAAAATTTGTTTCTAAAGAGATTAAACAGGAATATTTTTTATTGTATTACTATGAGAAAATTTTAGTATATGAAATTATATAACTAGTATAAACATAAACATAACCACAAAATTTTGAATGAAGCTTTGAAGAAAATGTCCCAAAATGTTAATAGTGGCAGTCCAGCTGGTAATGTGATGTAAAAATATGAGGTGAGTCCAGAAAGTATCCAGCCATGTGCTATGAAAAATAGAGACATTTATTGAAGATACAAGAAATATTGTACATAGGACGATGATGCCTCAGTCTCCTTCAAAGCAGGCACCTTGGAACCTCACAGTTCTCCCATCCCAGCATCTCTCCTGCTGTTCAAAACAAGCTGCAAAATCCTTTTTTGGAATTGCTATCAGTCGCCCTGTTGTGTTTTCCTGAATCTCGACAGTCTGAAATCTCTTCCCTTTCAAAGATTTTAGTTTCATGCCAAGACCCTGCATCAAAATCTTAAGAGTGATTTTTGGAATCCCCAGATCAAAAGCTTCTAGTTCCCACACTGTCTGTCACCAATCTTTGCTGATCGCAGCCCACATATATGCAACATTCTCCGGTATTCTGCTTGTTGCAAGCCTTCCAGAACCTGTATCTCTTTCAACAGATTCTTGACCATCTTTGAAGCGTTTGTTCCATACTTTTATTTGCGCTACACTCATTGCATTGCCCCCAAAGCCATCTGAATCATCTGAATAGTTTCCGTGGAAGAATGTTCAAGCTTAACACAAAATGTGATGCAGCTTTGTTGCTCTACTCCATTTTGAATGTGACACATGCTCACTCAACAGTATCTACTGCGCCGACTAGTACAGGGAAGTCATTCTTGTTCATGTATGTGCACTCCAGTCCACTCCCCTTGGCTGCCAAGTTACATTGATGCTGCACAAACCATTCTCGTTATAATGGCTGGACTTTTTTAGGACTGACCTTGTATATATTTTTCAAACTTACTAATATATGTGTACTTTGTAGCAGTATTAAAATATCAAAGCGGGAAAATCAAGACAGACCTATCCAGCCACAGAAGCACTTCAGATTTTTTAAAAAATATTTTATTTATTCTTAGGCAGAGTGGAACAGAGGAAGAAAGGGGGAGAAACATCAATGTGTGGTTGCCTCTCATGCACCCCCAACTGGGGACTTGACCTGCAACCCAGGCATGTACCCTGACTGGGAATCAATTTTCTTATGAATCACTGGCTAATTCCTGGGATCAATTTCCATCCTTTCTCTAAGTTTCCGGGTTGACCAAGTATACCCAAGATTGTCACATTTTCATTGGAATAAATTTATGACTAAGATATAGCAAAGAGTATGGGTTTTATATTTATATTCTATATTTCATCATTTAGGTATTTATTACAAACTCATTGGAGTTTCATTATACTGATATCCTTGGGGAGATGCTCAGGAATATTGTTCTAGAATGATGCCATGCATATAGTATCCCTTACCAAATTTTCTATTATGGAGGGCTGGTCCTATAAGAGCAAAGCTATAGATCATAATCTACACACCAACCATGGCAACCTCCTTACCTAGTGATTCATAATAAATATTCTCAGGGAGATGCCTAAAACACATTTTAGGAATATTATAAAAATATTATACTTGCATAACCCTTTGAATGGGGTCTTAGAATATTTCTCATACCAAATCGTCTCTTAGAGAAGATCAATTATGGCAAAATTGTAAACAATATACTGTAAACATTAGAGATTTAGTTAGTCAAAATGAAAGCTCAAAATGAATGTACATTTTAAATTCAATTTAAAGTCAAAGTACTATTTTCTTACTTTAAAAGTGTCTCTTGTCTTGCATGAGAGGAGAGGTTAGCACTCCTTGACAAGGATGGAAGAGGATCTTGGGCCTAACAACATGCATGCAGTTAAGGCATTGCCACCTACTTTGTGGCATCTAACCATCATTTTTCTGAGTTGTTCTAAAAAGTAACTAAAGTGTCTTTAAGGATTTCTGGCTTCTACTAATGAAAGAGTAGTAGCTCCTAAGAAACCAACGCTCTTGTAAATAACTATAAAGTTGGGGAGGGGGGAATCCACCAGAAAAATTAAAGGTTATGTACATGATTGGAGAGGAAGAAGTAAGAGTCTCTACTTGGATGTGACATGATGGCCTATGTAGAAAATCCCAACGAATCTAACAAACAAACAAAAAACCCTACTAGAATAAAGTTTTCCAAGGCTGGGAGAATCCCACTGTGGGTTGTATTTAAGTGACTTGCTTCCAAAACACAGAATCAAAGGGGAAAGCAATGTAAATTTACAGTTAAGATACTTGGTAAATAATCTTGGGCAGCCATTCAAGGCAAACATCACCAGCAATAAAGCATGTTAGTAACACATCATTTGATATGATGTGATGAGGACACCTCACCCCTGTACTATTTAACTCCAGCCTAACCATGCAAAAAACCAGAAAACAAGCCCAAATAGGACATTTTACACATCTGAAAAGTACTCCTCTAAACTGTCAAGGTATGAAAAACACAGACTGAAAAAGTATCACCAACCAGAGGAGACATGAAACTAACACCTTCTGCGGGATCTGAGAAAAGAGGGCGTTAGTGGAAAAACTGGTAAAAATCTAAAGATTAGTTGAGAAGCTACTAAATGTACCATGAATGTGCTCAACGACCAGAGAATCTACATCTAAACCCTTAAGTTCGGCATTACTCTCAGCATTTTTAAGGGTGCGTAGCAAAAGTTCAGCACACTTTTGGGGCCAAAGACCCTGTGTCTAGCTCCACTATTGGCCTGGGCACACTTACTGACCCCACCGCTGTAATGACAGAATGGCACACGTTGCTTCTGTAAAAATGGCATCCTTCAGAGAGCTTTTCAGATACGCGTACCCGTGATGGCCTGGGCAATTCCATGAGTGTTCTTAAAAGTAAACATGAAGGTGAAGATTTGAACCTCTTGATTTGCATGATTTTGTGGGGTTTTCTGGATCAAGTGAATAGTAAACCATTCAAAGATCACTTCAGGCCACTTACAGGAGAAGAGAACAATAGAGCAATTTTAAAACACAATAAACAAACAACAAAGACCTCACCTGGGGAGGGAGGGGGAGTTTCAATAACAATGTTTTCCAAAACTATTTACTTACCCAGAGAAAAAAGGAACTTTTATGGCTTAATTTTTTGGTTGTAGTGTTCCCAGTTACTCTTAAAACCACCTTCCCAAGTTCTATTCAATACACTGCCATCTTTTTAAAATACTCTTTAAAGGACTGTTCTACTGACTTTAAAGCAGGGGTTCTAGGCCTCACTGACAGTCAGAATCACCTAGGGGACCTTCAGAATTAACAATGACCAGGACACCACCCCCTGAAGATTCTGATCCAACTGTAGGGAAAGATTCCGCAGTATTACATTTTAAAAAGCTTCCCCCATGGATTTAAACATGTAGCCAGGATTGAGAACCACTAACCTAATTCAACAGAATACGAAAACTGTATTTTTAAAATCTTCTTTTAGATGAAGGCAGACCTTTTCTGAAGCAAAATAAAACAGATATTTAAGAAAAATCTGTTTCTAACTGTACAACTATAAATGAAAAGCCACATAAAACACAAAATTAGTCACAAAACCAATTATTTAATTGAAACTATAAAAAAAGAAGCAATATAAATTGATAAAATAATTAGGAAACAATATTTAGCATGTTTCAAAAGATTTAAAACAGGAACAGGACACTTACAAAAAGTTGTGTGGGAAATAAAATTCTTAAACTATACATAGAAATGTAACATTACAGAGTATCTTATAAAATACAATGACAGAAATATAAAAGGACTGTGTGTGCTCTAAGTCTGGAAACTATTAATAATGACCAGATATTTAGGTTTAAATTTACAGTTCCTGGGTACGAGAATCATAATACTATATACATCTTGAAAACCAGTGGACAATATTTTCCAATTAACCATGAGTAGTATCGTCTTCTACAAAGTCTTTGGCCATCTCTGCTGTGATCACATCGATATGACTAACCTGAAGAATAAATGTGAAAAACAAAGTCTGTTAAATCGTAATATATCAGTGTTACCACTGTATAAGGTAATATTTAAAATACACCTATAGGTTTTATCACCTATAAATTTTACACAGAAAAGTCAAATGATTCTAAAACATTGATTGATAAAATCTTCATAATGGTGTTTATTCAATGTGTATGTTTAAAAATATTTTGCACTTCAATGCTCTAAAGATATAGATAAGTACTTATGCCTAATTATTTTGCTATTCCAACGAACATTAAGGCTTAAAACACCAGGAAAAGCCGTGTGGTTCAGCCAAATATAAATCAATGTACATAACTGTTAAAGACTGCATTGAACAAGTACTGAATAGACTAGATAGGCATTAACTAGACTAGATAGACTAGATAGATTAAGAGACAGGAAGGTACTGTCTCTTAATGCCAATGAAAATAAAATCAGTGCAATGAATGCCACAAAAAACCTGCCTCACTGGCATTTTAAGTAAAAGTTTTTTCTTTACATCATCTGATAAGCAACAACATTCTAAGCTTTCTTTCATGAGTTAAGTAACATAAAATAAGAATTCAACAAATATAATGAATTAAATACTACATGAACTTAAACTTCATGTAAAAAAATTTACCTTATTTCTGAACTTTACACCATAGAATTTGTCAGCTGATTCAAGCAGTTCAGGCCTAAAAGTAGTTGTAATAAACTGAGCGTGTACAGCAAGTTCCATAATCATATCTGTTAAAAAAAAAAAAAGATAATTTAATAAAACCCCTTTGGTCAGACCTTAAAATTTGAAAAGCAACTATCTTTACACTTACTTAAAATTCAAAACAGCCTGTGACTCTATTTTTCATGCATATACCTATAAAAATTACCACCTTAATTTCTTAAATTAGGGATAAATCTTTAATCCCAATGTCTTAAAGTTATAGAATAAAAAGAAGCTCAGTCAATTTTGAACATAGCAGTAGAAATAACATGAGAGCAAGATAAGTTTTCCCACACATAAAAACAAAAACAACCTTTCCCCTGCTATCCACTCCCCAAAGATCTTTTGAACTTACTAAAGATTAAATACAGATTCTTTAAATACGGAAATCAACATTGCTTATGACAGGAACTACTCAAACACTGAAAAATACAAGTTTAAAATGAGAGAGTTCTATATCAAAGTTTAACTGAAGTAGGAATTTCAAGAGATTCAAAGAATTACATCTTTCTCACAGAACTAAACTTTACAAAGTAGTCTAACTCTACATTTTAAAAACCTCTTAAAAGAGAAATTTTATTTACGAAATACATACCCTACCTAGTCCCTCCAAATATCTCAGGCAACAAACAATCACTCTGAAAGAGGCAAGCTCTCATTTTAAAGCACGTTCTCATTGTCGAGTACAAAACCAACACTGTACCTGACACAGCCTTTCTGTGCTGAGCATCCAGGGCCTGGTCAATCTCATCAAACAAGTAAAAAGGAGCTGGGTCACATTTCTGAATGGCAAAAATCAGAGCAAGAGCTACCAAGGATTTCTGTCCGCCTGAGAGCTGTTGCATTTCTCTCATTTCACCTTGTTTTCCTGTAAATGACACCTAAGAAAACATCTGAGTCAATATCCTGAAAGGGAAGAGTCACAATCACCTCTTCAAATTAAATTGCATACATGCGACAATTTAGATTTACAAAATGTTCTGCAAATTTTAGATTGGAAGACATCGAAGAGAACTGGAGGTTCAGGTATTTACCCTAATTCCAACTCCGGTGAACTGGTCAACTGACGGGACACTACTCTGCGACCCTGAACCCCTCTCACTTTCACCACTCCCTTCTCCTTCATCCTGAGACTGACTGCCTTCCACATCTCCTTTCTTCATCACCAGAGTAGCTTTACCACCAGGTACCAGCTTCTGGAATACTTCACTGAAGTTCTTGGATACCTTAAAATAAACAAATAAACAAATACATAAATAATAAGGCTGGGTGTCAATTTGAACATAAATTTTTGCTCAGGTGGAATTATACATATTACTGCTTAAAACAAAGACAAATATTTAAAAGCAATCAGATTGGATCCTTTTAAGCACTGTGTAAAACATTCTAGTTCCAAGGTTAGCAACTTATATGCTGGATTTATTCACGTGTATTAGATCCAACTATCAGAGGGAAGAAAGCTTTATAATCTTTACAAACTGAACAATAAACTGAATAATAGCTGAAACTTCTGTCTGATGTATTTACTACAAAAAGAAACATACCTGTTTGAAAGTTAACTGAATAGCCTCATATTTTCGCAGTTCAAGTACATTCATCAGTTCCATGATTGATTTGTACCCCCTATCCAACTCTTCTTGTCGTTTTATTAACTTTTCTTTTTGCTCAGAGAAATTTACAAACTGATCTAAAGCTTTTTTGTTTACATGGCTGTACTTCTTCAGTTCTGTGTTGCACTGTTCAAGTTTTCGAAACAACTATAAAGAGAAAAGATATATACATAAATTCATATACAGGAAAATTTGCAGTGAGATTTCGAATTTAAAACCAGTAAGATTTACCTGTTTGAGGCTCAGCGTTTGGTATTTTTCAAATGCTTCCTGGGGAAGTGATCCAAGTTCTCGAATTTTCTTCATACATTCTTCTTTCTTTTTCAGCAGCATGCCTTGTCGATTTGTCATCTTTTCTAGTTCTTTAGTATCATGATTTATAGCATCCATGTGTTCTTTTTCCATATTTTTCCAGCGCTCCATGCTCTTCTGAAGCTCCTTAATTCCAGCTTCTGTTTTATCAATGGAATTGTCCAAATCTAAAATGGGGAAAAAAACAAACTAGGTCACAATGCATATTTTACAGCCAGAGTGTAATTTGACCAAATGTTTTATTTTCATAATCACATCTATTGAAATAGATAGGCTTTTTAA